ACGTGACACATGAATGATCCTCAAGTAACTGACAAGTGGTCACCTTACGACACTTTTTGTCTTGTTTTTATATTCTGAACGTGGCGATGGGGTTCCGCTACTGTTCAGTGCAGAGCTGGTTCTAGCCGGTGAGATAAGAGGGCTGTTGGCCACCCCAAAAACTTTGGAAAAATCTTCAACTACTTTCCTTAACACCTTGAACAGAAAGAAGATCAACATCCAAACAATATCGAATTGCTTTCTTCTCCCCGATAAATTCTTTCTGCAAACTTCCCGTCGCTGTTTGCTGCTGTCTGTTCTTGTGATGCCGAATTGAGACTCAACAACTGCATTGAGGATTTGTTGGCCATGTTTGCTTAATGACATGATTGTCTGTGATTAACCACAATTAATGGGATGGCGTGGCTGAGGGTGGTGATCCAGACACCTCGCAAATGGGACGACACACACACACACGCGCGCGTGCACGCTCGAATGGCGCTTTGATAGACAGGGAGCGCTCCTGCCGTAACGAGTGACGACATCCAATACATTCGGCCTGGGATCATCCCGCGTGTCCGTTGTGTTTGCCGTTGAACACTTTATTGATTAGCCACCAGTTAATTGCAAACGACACGAACCGTGGCCAGACCGAGTCCGCTCTCGGTTACGACGGCACACCTGCGAGACTCGACGAGGGCCAACCTGAGCGCGCAGCTTCCTTCTCGGTCGCCTCGGTCTGGAGCATCTTGCGCGAACGAGCAGGACGTTTGGCAGCGCGCAAAATCGGACGCGGGTTTTAATAGGTGGGCTTCCTAAGGAAAGGTTTGAAGTGAACTGTCGTCGGAAAATGGTGTCAAACGCACAGCGGCTCTCCGGAGGAGAATGATTGAAGCGCCATGGTAGAAATGTGTGATACGCCCTCCACTTGACGGCCGATGGCTGCAACCTCTCTCTCACCTTTGACTCCTGCGTTCATTAACAATAATCATAATGATGATAATAATGATTATCATGATCATAATAGCAGAGCTGAACCGGACCAAATTTTCCCCCAATATTGCTTTTTTTTCCCCGCCGCCCCCCCCTTCTCGCAGTGTCACTTTCTCTTTGCCGTTGCCTTGTACTTTGTGCAAAAGGGAAAAGGAGCGCAAAAGAATCTTTCTCAAATCCCCATTCTGGGGCTTTGAATAAGGCAGGCCATTACCTCACTGGCGCTTTTGTTCGGCCTATACAAGGAGAACAAAATGGTTATTCAGGAGGACGCTTTAGATTTTTATTGTGGGCTTTGCCATTCACAAAGAGCAGCGTTATTGTATTAAAAAGAACCATCTGTGGCAGAAACAATGCCTTCAAATTATCGGTGAATAGCCAGTGAACAAAATATAAAGCTTTTTCCTGCTCATTATGTGGGCTCAAGCTTTAGGGGGTGGAAGATAGGAGAGGAGAGGCGCACACTTTGCTATAACTGACTTTTGTTGTTCTTGCTTGCATTCTTCTCCTTTTTTTTTTCCGTCGGCCCCTTTTCACATTGTGAGTCGCCATCAACGGCTTTCCTTGTTGCAGGGCGAGCGCGGAGCACGCACGGGGAGCTCCGCTCCGCGCTCACCGCCGACGCGAGCCGCGGACGGCGCGCCGGCGCTCGGATCCGAACCCTGAGGACTAATCGGCGGCGCGTGCGGAGCCGGCCCGGTTCGTCGGACTCGGAAAGGCGGGCGAAATGATGCTTGGCGCTCGATGTGCAGCTGGAGAGAAGATTCGACGGCGCTCGAAGGGGGAAGGGGGAGAAAAAAAAAACTTTTTTTTTTCCTCCCCTCTGTCTATTTCTGCCAATCACGACGAGAGGAAGACAGACGCCGCGCAAGAGCCAGTAAGTTGGAGGCAGCGTGGACGGGAGTAGCCTGCAAGCGTTGGTTAGTTGCTGTTTATCCGTGCGTGTGCGTGACACGAGTGGGTGTGTGTCGGGCTGCGGTGTGGTGGAATGACGCATCAGAAAGTTTCATACACCGGCCGGAACACTATTTTTATTATCATTAATATTATTCTTATTATTGCTGCTGCTGTTGTTGCCGTTTTTAAATATTCCAACAATTCTCGTTTACTTGCAAATAATCGGATCATGTATTTTCCTGTGTTGAGTACGAATTTTCAAAATCACGTTCGTGACGTCACTGAGCGAAGAATACATCGCGCCTGGAAAATGTCTATCACGTTGCCATATTTGACTTCAGCGTTTGTTTTACGGCTGAAAAAATGATGCACGCGGCTTAAGGAAAGCAAGAAAAAAAGGCAGTTCGCGAGGCGATGCAATTATTATTGATGTCAACAATTTAGTATTGAAAACAAAAAACGTGATCGTGTTGTACAAAATAATGTTGAAGTAGTGCTGTTGTTTTGAGGGTTTTTAGTGCGTCTCCAGTCCCCGGTACGGCCCCTAGTGGCAAAAACATCCACTGTCTTATTCCATGCGCATTTTCCTCTTGGCATCAATTTTTACCGCCTTAATAATTGATCATATTCTATTGTGAAAAATAAAGTATAAATGATGGTGCTATTGTACCCTCTGAGTCAGGAAAGACTTGTTTTTAAAATCGGATTTTGGTGACGTTCTTCTGATGATGAAGTTTAGGCCTGGCGTTTTGTTCTTATTGTGATTGTGCTTAATGAACGCTCGTTGTTATTTTTTTTTCCCACATCTTTTACGAGCGACGCAGATGCTATCACTACATTTGTCTAACCACAAACATTTGGATATCACGGCTACATTCGTTACATTTACTGTGGGCGTGGGGCGCTTTTACCAGTGCACTGTGAGGGTTTTTTTTTCTTTTTTTTTTTTTTTTTGGTCCAACGCCGGTTTTAATTCGCGCCGATTGTGGATGCGGGGCCATTCCCGGCTGGCCGGGCCCCGCAGGTCCCCGCTGTTCCTTTATTATCCTAAGCAGATTAGAGGTAGCGGGGAACACACTCAGATGCAGATAGCGGCCGAGCGGCCCATTTCAACCTTGCATTATAATGGAGCGAGCTGCATGTGTCGCCTCTCACAGCCTATTAAGCGCCAGATGAATCTTATGTAAGGGTTGCGGGGCCGCCATAATGAGAGCTCCTCCTGCAGCTAATATCAAAATGGCCGCAAGCAAAAGAACCGCGTGCAGCCTTGATCTCTTGCCTTTCAATTATGATTTCATCTATATTGACGCTCACTTTTAATTTAATTAGTTCCCCCCCCCAACATTTTTTTAAAAAATATTTCAGCGCACCAATTGTTTTAATGCAAAACAGCAACGCCACTAACTATTAATTTTGTTGACACATTTTTTTTTGTGTTGGCACTTTATTATTATTTTTTATTTTTTTTGTCAACCACACCCGACGACACACGATGGAACTCGGAGCAGTCCCTTCTCCTCCGTCGACTTGGAGAAAACCGGCCGCGTGTGTCTTTCCTTGTAGTTCCTCCTCTTGCCGTTAGACGGCACTCGTATCACGCAGCAGAGCAGCGCGCACGCGCAAGCACAACCAGCCAGCAGATTGAAACGCAAAACAAGTGGCAGTCGGTTGTGGCGGCACATAAACTTCT